CCTAGCATATAAGTTCTTATGCATTGAGTGCAAAAGAGGGTATTTTAGTACAAAACGAAATGAAATTATCAGCCCGATTCTGAATGACAACTCTCGGGGAATTTTTTCTCTTTTCCCTTTCCTCCTATTCTGAATGGCATATGTCGGGGATTTTTTTCTCTTTTCCTTTTCCTCCAATTCCAAATAAACTTCGAAAATGGGAATTTGTTTCTCGCGTAAAAAGTAGCTATTACGAATGTGAAAAAAAGGGAGATTGTGTTGACATTTCTGGAGAATTTTTCCGCTAAGAAATTTAAAGAGAGTCCTTATCAAAAATGTAAGTAATTAAATTTTTGCATAATAAATGGAATATTTATTATTATTTACTTTTATTAAAATGATTACTAATAACATTATTATTACACCCAGGTCAAAAACAACCAATAAACATCAGATCGAGCTGCTTTTAAGTCGCATGCAAGCGCACCCAGACATTGCGCGCGGTTTTTTTAAAGGCCAGAAGGACGATGTTAACAAGTTTTGGCGCCAGGTGGAAGAGGATTTAAACTCAGCAGGGCCACCAATGAAAAATGTGTGCGAATGGAAAAAGGTAATGATGATAAGCTACTTGAGGGTATAAGAATTAAAAGTGCAATACATATTTCAGGTTTGGGCTGATCAAAAAAAATACGTACGGCGAAAGGCGGCCCAAAATCTAAAAGCCAGCAAAGGAACTGGTGGAGGACCCAACATGGAACAAAAATTGTCGCCTACTGAAGAAGCCATATACGAGTTAGTTGGGATGAAGGAATCTGTGGAGGGTGTATCAAATACACTCAAGTTTGGCCTTTCAAGTCATGTGACAAAGTCACCTGCAGATAATTCCACAGCAGAGAATGATATACTCGATAGCACTATTGAAGAACTTGAGGAAGTTACTCCGTATCAGCCGCCAACGAAAAAAAAACGCAACACTCCGCAAGGCGAGCCAAAAAAGCAAAATAGCTATACTAACGATATGTTTGTACAGGAAATCGGTGTGCAGAAAGAGGTGTGTGAGTCAATAAAAGAGGCTGTGACGGGTTTAAAGGACCAAAAGGAAATTACAAAAAAAATTTTTTTTTTTTCTTTTGTTTTTTTTTAACTCCGTGAAATGAACTGATTTTATGAATTAATATATTTATTTGTAATTTTTTATGGAATCGACATCGGCATCGGCCGATTCTTTCCCCATAAGCATATTTATATATGTATGTATGTATGTATTTATGTATGTACATATGCATGTATTGTGTCTTTACAGAGAAAAATAAGTAAAGAGGATAGTACAAACGTTTGTGCTAAAGAAACAAAAAACAACTATGCACTTTTTAACACCCCCAAAATAGTTTGCTACTTGTAGCAGTTGTGCTGTATACTTGAACTAAATATAATCCTTGGTGAAAATGTATTTGTGGATTGTTGTTGAAGGACATATGTACATATGTATGTATATATGAATGTATATGTATATGGAGATATGGGAAAATATCTAAAACTTTGACGTTGCGTTGGCGTTGAATTTCAATGCAGCCGTCCACATAGCCCAAATTTGGCAACGCTCACGCCAACACAAAACAGAAAGATCGCGTGCGTCGGTCGTCAGCTGTTGCAAGTCTGTTTGCCTGTATAATCTGCTTGCCTCATATGTACGGTGACCATTCGTCCCTTATTTTAACCCCCTGTCGTTTATATATTTTTTTTGTCCTTTACTTCTTAAACTGTCCTTTAAACCAGCTCTGCATGTTTCAGATGTAAATTTTTAAACCAGAATATGAAAAAAAAAAATGTCCCTTATAAAATATAATGAAAACCCTCGCCAGTTTGTTTCGTACCCCACTTAAGGGTTTCTATTTAATCGGTAATCTTTGTACAATCTATAAAACACAGGGAAAGTTGTGCCCAGGGTCGTGTAGCATGCTGAGTTTCCAGTTCCTCTGAAAGAGAACAATAAACCCTCTGCTGCACAGTGGTTCAAAACAAGCATTTAGTGTTCGTAATTCACTGGAGCTTTAATTGTTCACTTAATCTTATATATATTTTTTTTTGTGTAAGCTTACGATATTTGCAAGATACCAGTTGAGCCTGATTTGTGAATTTTTATTTTATTGTATTAAATTTTTTAATGGAAAATGCAGAAAAAGTAGCAATTTCGAGGAAATATATTCTCCGGTTCCAGTTAATAAATGTTACATAACAAAAACTATTTGAAAACAATTGTATGGTTCGCCCAAAACGAAAAAATTGCACAAAAAAATGTTTGAAATGTTCACCAAAATAAATGCTTTTTTTTTTTGGTTCTTAGAGCAACAAAGTTCGCGCCGAATAAATATTTGACAACTATGAGGTGAATACAATTTCAGTAGCTCATGAGGCTAGTGAAATTTTTTACGAATGCATAGAAAATTTTGACAATCGCAAAGATTGTTGATGTGTGTAATTTTTCGTTAAATAAAAGCTTAAATTGATGAATTGCAATCAACGATGGTAGATGTGTTCTTAAAATATTAATTTCACTTCAATTTGTAATATTTTATTCCGCATAAACCTGCGGTTATCAAAAATTTACTGCTGTCAAAAAAGACTTCATTTTACACAGCAGATTGGCAAAACTGTCTCACCATAGTAAAAATATTATTCAACAGGTCTGCCCATAGAACTTTGTTACCGATTCACACACGCCCTTAGTAAAAATTGGTTGAAAAATGAAGGCTCAGGTGAATTATGAACATTTAATTCCAATTTTGAATCACTGTGTGTCGACTTCGGCGTGCAGTATGAAGTATGGTAAACGCATTTTGGCAGCAAAGGATGGCGAAGTGGTGAAAAGGATTTGGCGTCATTTTTCGGAATCGGTTAATTAACTGGTAAATATTTGATTTAAATTACGATATGGGTAAGGTACTTCTATCATACAAGTTTTATGTACGTATTTCCTNTCCAGTTCCTCTGAAAGAGAACAATAAACCCTCTGCTGCACAGTGGTTCAAAACAAGCATTTAGTGTTCGTAATTCACTGGAGCTTTAATTGTTCACTTAATCTTATATATATTTTTTTTTGTGTAAGCTTACGATATTTGCAAGATACCAGTTGAGCCTGATTTGTGAATTTTTATTTTATTGTATTAAATTTTTTAATGGAAAATGCAGAAAAAGTAGCAATTTCGAGGAAATATATTCTCCGGTTCCAGTTAATAAATGTTACATAACAAAAACTATTTGAAAACAATTGTATGGTTCGCCCAAAACGAAAAAATTNTCTTTTTTGATCCTAGATGCATTAGCCATGCAATTTTATTGAATTACAAAACTGCAAACAAATTTTTTTTTTTAAGATTCTATTTAAGTAAAAAGTTTGAAATTTCGGTGAAACATTGCAGAATTAATTTTTATAGTTTTTTTCATAAAGTTGGAAATTTTTTATTATGAGCGTGTGTAAATCGGTAAAAAGTTCGCGCCAAATAAATTATTGACAACTATGAGGTGAATACAATTTCAGTAGCTCATGAGGCTAGTGAAATTTTTTACGNAGGTCGGTTAAAAAATAAAAACTTGTAATTGAAAAAAAATAAAATTGTTGCAACTTTCTTTCTGAATCGGTAACAAAGTTCGCGGCGAGGAAATTTTTGACAGCTATGAGGTGAATAAAATTTCAGTAGCTCATAAGCAATTGGCAATGCATAGAAATTTTTGACAATCGCAAAGATTGACGTGTGTAATTAAATAAAAGCTTAAATTGATGAATTGCAATCAACGATGGTAGATGTTTTCTTAAAATATTAATTTCACTTCAATTTGTAATATTTTATTCCGCATAAACCTGCGGTTATCAAAAATTTACTGCTGTCAAAAAAGACTTCATTTTACACAGCAGATTGGCAAAACTGTCTCACCATAGTAAAAATATTATTCAACAGGTCTGCCCATAGAACTTTGTTACCGATTCACACACGCCCTTAGTAAAAATTGGTTGAAAAATGAAGGCTCAGGTGAATTATGAACATTTAATTCCAATTTTGAATCACTGTGTGTCGACTTCGGCGTGCAGTATGAAGTATGGTAAACGCATTTTGGCAGCAAAGGATGGCGAAGTGGTGAAAAGGATTTGGCGTCATTTTTCGGAATCGGTTAATTAACTGGTAAATATTTGATTTAAATTACGATATGGGTAAGGTACTTCTATCATACAAGTTTTATGTACGTATTTCCTAATCATTTTGAAAAAAATTTCCTTTATTTTACGTTGGTTAATATGGTCACCGTACTCATATGCCTTGCTTATCTACTACACTCTAAAAAGTGCATGTAAAACTACTACTGAAAAGTGTTTATTTTTCAACCAGAATCTGTTCAAGTATACGCACAAGATGTTCAAGATTTGATTTTGAACATGAGTTGTTTAAAATATACACATGAAATGTTTAAAATTACAAACATTTTGAAAGTAAAAATATATTTTTTACAAATAATAAATACTAAGTGCCAGGGGCGCACGCAGGAATATATTTTTGGGGGGAAAGGGTTTATACTTCTAAACATATATCATCAGCAAATACTGAAAATTCGCTATTTAAAATACATTTATGAAAGTTTTATTTACAGTATGAAATAAATAAATAAACTTTTTAAAGTATCATCAATTGCATTTTATTTACATAAAATTTACAAAGGCTCAGACATTTGTAACCGGCTTCAAAAAAGGGGAGGCTATCAATTCTTCGGAGTATTTTTAATTCTTTTATTTATTCCACCGCATAACTTTGCACCGCGTGAACCGATTCCAATAATTATTTTTTTTACCGGAAAGATGGTACCTTAAGGGTCGTCCCATAATTTGGTTTAGATCCGATCATTTAATCATGACAAAATTACGGGTAAAGATGCACTCAACTTTCAAAAGTAATACAAAATTTTACAAAAGAATTTTAATATCAATAAATTAAATAATTTCACGAAATTTTTACACTTTTTTATTAATTTTCGTCGATTTCTGGTTTCTCATTTTTTAATAATTCGAATAACGAAAATTTAACAGAACTTGTATTTTTATCATGTAGCTCATTTTGGTGGAACGAATTCGAAGTTAGCAAATTAAATCTTCGAATGCTTATTAAGTACATATCAGACATCTGCAGCGGGTGCATAATTTTCGTGTATACCCGAGCATCTAACAAAACCCGTTTTGCATCGTTCTCTGTATACGAGCAGAAGTATTGTTCGTTAGCGACTGAGCTCAAGACGAACATGTTGGTAACAACACCCGATTGCTTTTCATACATACTTGATTGGGTTCGGGTGCTTTGCAGCTCAATATACCCGGGTGTTCGAGTTTCAACCCGAGTGTGCACAAAATTTTCTTGATTGGTTTATGGCGTTTTCGTTTCTACAAGAAATGTTGCCTCCTCATCGCGCTCTTCTTAGTGTTTGTGCGTAGACAAAGAGAAGGTTGCATTTTTCGGTAGAAACAAAATCGGCATTAGTGTAGTTTGTGATCGGCAGCGCAGTAGTCTCATTTTTTTGTACATACATACATATATTGTAAAAAATTACACACTTAAATACGGTTTTATTCTCCGTATTCGCCTCTGATTTTTAATTGGGTTTTCTGTTAAGGTCGATACGCTCATATCTACAAATATTAAAATTTGCATTTTAAAATGCTTCTTTCCTAGGGTAAAAAATCCTTATTTCAATATTATAGTTTGTTTAAGTGTACATTTTACCATTTCTTATATTTTTGCTCAGACAAAATGCGACATCACGGCGCCTACATCCATGTAGGTATTAAATGTGTGTAGATCGGCAATGCCCAAGCCCTATGCACTCGGTGCACATTTATTTTTTGTAAAAGTATTTATGTACCTACATAGTTTTAGGCTGTGTGTTCTAATATATACACACACAGCATTCCACGCGAAACTATACGAAATAGATGCACAAACTTCGCTTCTAATTTTTTTCATTGCGTATGCACAAGCACAAAGCAACAACACTTGCGTATGCTTTGTTGGAACATATTGGCGCCAGTTACCTTCAGCGTAAATTTGGTTGTTGTCCTGCATTTTATCGCAATGTTCGGGTGTCCGTTTCATTGTTACACAAATTTTCGGGTTAGCTGCGGGTGTCCGAGTGTGGTGTTCGCTTGTGCTCAATTTATAGCGAGGGTAATCGAACAGACTCGTTCGTAACCAAAGCAGCTCTCGGGTGTGCATCTCGATCGAACACATAGTGGCCGAGTGTGGCGTTCGCTTGTGCTCGATTTTTAGTGAGGGTGGTCAAAAAGGCTCGATCATACCCAAAGCTGCTCTCTGGTACATATCAGAGGTAAACTTTTTTAGGCTGTAAAGTGTAAAAAGCAACAGTAAGTGAGTATGCATTGCATATTTTTAGGACAATGTTTTCATTCGCAGTTGAACTCTAAAGAGCTCTCAAGAAAAAAAGAAAAATTCTTACAAAATGACGCCCAAGAAATGGAAAAGAAAATTTTTTCTTTCAAAATTTCTAATATCATAATAAATTTAGCCCCAAAATCCACACCTTGTGTGCGCTACGTGACAAATTTGATATGTAAAAGTAAACAGACATTGTTTAATTTTGCACACACTAGGAGAGGAAACTGGTTACCTCTCTTTATATGCGTAAATTTAAACGAAAATTTTTTAGAGGAAATTTTAAACATTTGATGTGTAAACAGTGAAAATGTGAACAATAAATGTTTAAAACTCAAAAAACAAATTTGAAATTTGTTCTACGCCACACATATAAGTAAAAGTAAGCAAGCAGTGTTTAAATTTGCATTCATTAAGAGAGGAAACCGGTTACCTATCTTAATATGCGCAAATTTAAACAAAAAGATTTTAGAGTGTAGCTTCGCTCGTCTGCTGCTGCAAATGAGTGCCTCGCTCGCAACGACGCGCGTATGAGGTCCCTGTTTGCTTGCCACTCTACTCTTGCGCTGCCCTCGTTTGCTTACTCGCTCGCTGGCTGCTCAGCGCGTGGGCTCGAAATTCTTAGTTTATGTTCATGCCTATTATGGTAACCGACGGATGCCATCCGCAAGGATCTAATCAGATTCGCACTGTCGGAATAAGCGAGTGCGAAGGATTAGATTCGTGCGACTGGTATCTGTCGGGCAGGAATAGGTCTGTTTCCGAGGGATGCCATTCACATGAATCTAATCATTCTCATTCGCTTGTTATGACAGTGCGAATCGGATTAGATCCGTGCGGATGGCATCCGTCGGATACCGTAATAGGCATGGTTGTTTTCAATTCTAAATTAATTGCGCATTTGGAAAAAAAAATTGGCTCAGGAAATGTAAAAAAAAAAAAATCATATTTTTCGGACGGCGCTGGCTTGCAATATAAGAACAAATTTAATTTGATAATTTATCAATGCACAAAGATTTTGGAGTCAACGCGGAATGGAATTTTTTTTGCCACTTCACATGGTAAAGGTGCATGTGACGGAATCGGTGGTACAGTGAAACGACTCGCTTTTCGGTCGAGTTTACAAAATAAATTTATAACTACTCCAAAACTTTTGTATGAATGGGCAAGACTTGTTTAAAATGATTGAATTTGATTTTTGTGCAACATGATGAGGCCCTAAAAATGATATGATATGGCAAAAACTGTTACTAACACCCGACAATACCATTTTTTCACTCCGTTTGATACTAGACTTGCTTGTAAAATATTTTCTGCTTCGGTCAAAACAGTAATTCAAAACATTGTAAAGACAAGAGTTAATAAGAAAAAGAAGTAGATTCATAGAATACAAATTTATTTATACTCCCCTCTTGTCCAACATAAGGTCTCATGCTCAGCAATATAATAGACTTGGAACTGATGACTAGGACGGCCATTCACTCGACCAACCCTATACAATATATCTTTTTTTGTCTTTTTTATACAAAGTTTGAGAAAAAATACACCTGAAAAAGACTTTCTTGCCGCCGCATGTACTTATCTTCCAAAGTTTACACTGCTGGCAAATGCAAACAAAGATTAAAATCTTAAAACTAATTAATAAAATGAAAATTAAATATGTACAAAATTAACAATAAAATACTTTTTTTGCAAAACCTATAAAGGACACTTTTATTAAAACAAAACTGGGGTACAGTTATTCGTCGCCACCCTGTATAATTATTTGGATTTACATAACACGAGCTCACCACGAGGCAAGGGAAACAAATTTATAACTTTTGACTGCATGCAAGTTTCCGTGTTTTTTTTTAATAATGTATTATAGAATAAGAATTGATATTCAACGTAATCGATTAAAACATCTGATCGAGAAGTAATAAATATTTCCATTTGTTTATACAAATTTTTTGTAAAAATTAAAAATGTTGTACAAAATAATGTTTTTTTTTTTTTAATTTAAACAATCAGGCTAAAGCGTGCCTAATTAACTATTATCATCAAAAAACCAGCAAGCTACATGCTATGAATCAGTAGATAATAAATAATTACTGAATTCACCAAAAAAAAGTTAATAACAGTAACTCTTGTAAAAATTCGAATTTTGTAAAATTGTTCAAATTATATTTTTTTTTTATGGTTGTAAACCGAATAAAGTGATTTGTTTAAAAAATCTTGACCGTCCAATTTTGGGTGGCCCACTTGAGAGATTTTCACTCACATGTAAGACATTTTCGTTATTATAATACTAGTACAACTTGAGACATTTTCGCTCACATGTAAGACATTTTTGGGATTATTATTATACTAGTACCAAGTACAACTGATACGTGTACCTTTTGCAATCAATAAATGTTATATTGTTTTGGAAAATGGTTCTTCAAAAAAATTATAGGATTTATTCCATATTGATACTTTGATACTTAAAATAAAAAAAGTGATACATTTTAAGTCTCTCCTCTGCTACAATTTTTCACAAGCCCGCGGTCACACTGCTTGCTTCCTCCGGCTGGGACGAGCGCAGAAAGAAGTTCCTCATCGTCCGTTGGTATGTATTTGGACATACTAGTTATTAGGCACCGAGCACAAGTTGACCATCTCGGCATCCAAACACGCAGTCTCAATACTCAAGCCGTTTGGGTTGGCGCCTTTTTCGTCCTTTGTGGCGACGTTTTGAGTACATCGCGTCCGCTGCAGCCGACATTTGTTCGGCAAGTTCATTGGGTAGCGAGTGCTCCTTTAAACTTGAGGACTGCCCTTTGCGCAATAAATTTTTGAATGATGGATAGTCTTTTGGTCTGAACGAACACGATTTGAACAAAGATTATGATAGTGCGTACAAATTCGTACAAATTTTTTGCTCGGCGAACATAACTAAAATGTATCCAGTAAAAACTTTCAACTTGCCGTCAAAATCAACTGTCATTTCGCCCTCTCAATGTCCTCTTTGCAAGTTTTTGCTTACGAAAATGAAAATATGGAAATTCGATACAATTACGAACTTTTACAAACTGTCGCGTAAAAAACAGAACTATTGTAAATAGGTCTGATCCAGTATGCAATCCGAACGTACAATTTTTTCACCACATTTTACTTGAAATCGATCCCGTACTCACTTTGCGCGCATTTTAATTATTCGACAGTTTTTCTAGATTTAGTCCGAGAAGTACAATTTAGAAACGAAATAATTTGAAAACAATTTAATCAGCTGCTCTACTGCTACCAGCTGTTCATTGAACAGTGTCCATTATGTCTTGCTTGCAGCGAATATTTAAACAAAATTCTATATACTAGGGATGTGCGATTAATCGAAACCTGATAAAAACTTTGATTAATCAAAGTGATTAATTTCTCGATTAATTACATTTTAATTAATCAGAATCTAATTAATTTTATTAATCAGAAAACTGTTTAATCAGAAACTTGTTTATAGAAAAAAGTATACACATACACAAATGTATATTTTTTTCACTTCAATGAGCAACATAGTAAGGTGCTCGTTTGGAATTCTACTTTTGTTAATAAGAAAAAAATTGTTTTATATTATAAAAGAAAGAATTTACGTACTTTGAAAGCAAACTCCAAAGCTATGAGCGAAGTTACTCAGATCAATTAAATTTTTATGAGTAACAAAATTACTCAGGATCTGATTAATCATAATCTGATTAATCACGTTTTTTGATAAACCAGGATCATGATTAATTAAAAAATTATTTAATCGATTAATCGCACATCCCTACTATACATACATATATAGGTATTAAGTACGTTTCAAGTATTTTATTTGTTTGTATATATTTAGTATTAATTGCTTTGCTATACAATCTGATAAATTACGAAAAATAAAGCGTCATCGCCCCGTACGCAACATGTTTTACAAATTTCCAATACAAAATTAGCACAAACGTTCCACATTTGTAATTGCCATCACTAAGTTGAGGTCACTCACATACACAATTATAGGTACAATACGGCTCCTCTGACACAATAATTGCAGTATAATAAAACTAGTGTTGCGACCACTGAATATTTTTTAGGTCAATGCCTTCTTGTACCATTTCCCACAACGGAGACATTTCGCGCAAACGTTCTACATGCTTGATACATTTGTCAGCGGTGTAATCCACCTCTTCAATGGTGGTAAATCGACCTATACCAAACCTTAAAAATACAAAATGAATTAAAATTTTATTTTGTATGATATAAAAACATATTTTATATATATTTGTACATATCGTTACCTTAATATAGAAAGGCTCTAACTAATTTTCTTTCGAAATTCAGCTCAGTACAATGGTCGGTAGTATACTCACTAAAGGCTTAATCAAATTTCAAATCAACTACTATGTACATTAAAAAAATTGTTGCTGTGTTTATTTAAAACCAGTGTAATGAAAAAAGAACTTCAGTTTTTATAAAGTTGTGTAACTAGTCCGTAAAGAAACCAAAATGTTTGATATAGGGTTTCTACATATATTAAGGTAACGATATAACCTATAAAATTTTTCAAAAATATCTTGCTTTATAGATTCTTCGATAATATAAGAATTTACATTAGACTAATAAAAAAATACTATATTTTTTTCAAAATTTCTTTTGAAATATTTTCGGGCCAGTGAAAAAATGCCTCTCGAAAGCGCTGACCTTAATATTAAGATTTAGAGATCGCGAATTTATATTTTCCTTACAAATAACACAGGAATTTTTTTCAATTTTCAACTCTTATAACTCATTTTTATTTCAATGTATCGGAATGAGCGATATATATTTTTGAAGGTTTTTAAGTTGAAGGCTGTAAAAAAAGTATTGTATGATTTTCCATTAATTCATTCCTCCAAAAGATAGTCAAGGTTAAAATCAAACATAAAAAATTTAACTTTTTTTAAATTTTCGGAAAGTTGTTAAAACTTAACACCAGGGCCGAAAATTTTAAGCTTATGCTTGGAATTGCTTGCTCAGGGTTTCCAAACTTAATTTTAACAACCATGCATATTTTGCTTATTTTAATGTATGAAGCTAAGTACGGATCTCTTAAGAAAGCGTCTCAGAAAAGAATTGCCATTTTTTCGTGTGTGTGAATAGTAGTGTCTGTGGAATTTTGACATCTTATAGTTCACAGTCTGCTGTCTCACTCTTTCCTCGCGAAATAATGGATCGGGCATATATTTCTGTTGAAAAGGTGGGTCGCCTTGTGCTTATTGTTCACAAAAAAGTTTAGAAAACCGTATTAGAAATCCATACTGCTTATAAAAATTTGGGTAAATAAATTTTTCTTGAGCATTTCTAGAGCTTTTTATGTGGATTTTTGACAGTTCTTAAGATCTGCGAACGAATGTTCACAAACACGAACATACAACGATTGGATTTTTATTAATGGCGTTTTCTTTTCTCGAAAAAAATGTCACCTTCGTATAGGGCAGAGCTGTGTAACTGTGAAATCATTTAAATTTTTAATCATGAAATATTTACAAGTAGGATTTCATTCTTTTTCCTTTTATCTGGTAGTGTGGCTTATATTTTTTCAATCTACAATCATTAAAAAAAAATTGATTTCACAAAGCAAGGTGGTAAATACCTGAATGAAAAACTGAGAATGATGAAGTAAATAGAATTCATTACTGAATGAGCCTACAGATTAATGAAACACCTTGCTATGTGTGATTTCTCTACGTATGAAGGGATGGTAATGCTTGGACTCATCCACACATGAAACACAGCTTGATTCTCATATACAAATTTATATTTTTGGTGGTTTAAAAGCTGGGTGCGAAACTTGCCAAGACATTTGGTATCTATAAAAGATGGGAAGTATGCATAATATGAAATAATCATGCATAATAACCATCAGCTTTCTTCATTTAGTCCATGATTTATTCACATAGATATACGGCTCATTCCATCTCAAATCAGCCAGGCCGGCGGAAAGTGAATTTAAGTTTGCGATAAAACTCACAGGGATTGTTCCTTGAACAATCTAAGGAGACACGTATTTTTTCTTTTTGCTCAGAAATGCGAATTTTTCGAATAATGAATTTTTTTCTTTTTGAGTACGAACGCTTCTTTTTTCCTCTCTTAATAACAACTTTTGATGAAATCGTTTATAACTGCCGCAAGAAAGCAAGGATTTTAACGATTTTTTTTTTAAATTGCAGATATTGATCTACTGAATCGATCTAGTGAACTAAACATCAGTAATTGTTTATTAATAATTAATTATTTTTTATAAACAAA